TTCTATCCTGTTTTTTGTTATATGTGGCCTTGTTGGCGCGGCTTTTTATTAATAAATAAGTGGTTTTTTTTTAATTAAATGCTCGTTCGTGGTTAAATTTTTACTATTTTATTTAACAACAATGATCTGTCTATGTACTAGGTTTTTATACAACGTGTTTTAAATTCACATTTATTTTTCTATTTAAAGGATATCAGTGGCAGTACATTAACGTAAAAGTATAAAGAAACATTAAATCAAACATCAGTCAATAAATTTAACACCCTTGCAAATTCATTCAAACTAGACATCTATGAAAAGCGGCAACGCCGCGCATTGGCGTGCAGTTCGGTAGGATAAAAAGAATACCTACAACCGGGACGTAAATATTATACCTAAGTTCACTTGTGTCATCATAACAATTAAGATTAATATGATACGATTGTTTACATTTTAGATGTTCTGTTTGAATAAATCTCAAGTATATCTAATGTGTACCGCCTATGATAAATGTATCTTTGTAATACATTAAATAGGTTCACGTTTGATTAAATTGGGTTAACTCACGTTATTAAACTAAATGTAAAATCCATACGTAGCATTATATTATAGCTTTGTGAAAAAGCGGCGGGCGGCGCGCGACATGAACTACGTGTAGAGCTGTCGGCGAAATCAAAGAATTTTGTGCGTTGTTCAAATTTGTTATAATAGTATATAACCTTTGACAAATGAGTCGATCTACTTTATGTTGCATATGCCACCGTAAAATTGTAAACACCGTTAGATTGTAATCTATCTCGCGAGATTGTAAACTGTCGAAAGATTGTGAACTCAACGTACTCCGCTTACAATTTAATGTATTATTATTCGGTAGATTGTAATCTATCGAAGTGAAACCGTCAAATTGTGAAACGGATCGCACCTCGCGCGCTGATTGGTTGATCGGAATATGCGGGGCATATTCCGATCACCGCCACCATATTTTTTTGTTAATTCGTTTGTTGTCAAATGTAAATTGATTGTTTTGATGAATGTAAATTGATGTCGTGTTGAAAGTTATTCACAGCTTTAGAATTAGTTATTTGAAATTGTTGGGAAGTAAAATTAATGTGTGATTGACCAAAGAAGTTTGAATGATAACGTACTTAACGTTGTTGGAAATGAAATGAAAGAAAATTTCATTACTTTTTCAAGTTTAATTTATGTTTGAGGAAAAAATATTGTTACGTTTCTGATTTTTTTTATTTTGATACAATTTTTTACCATGTGATGTCAGAATTATTGATTACCTACTAAGTAATAAATAAATACTTGATTTCACAATTCTTGAAGTGCATTCAGTTTATTGGACTGGACCCGTGTTTCATTGCTAACTCTATGGACATAGAACGGTCTACTATAAAGCCAACCAATCAGGGACAGTCTTCGGACAGTTAACAATTTGACAATTTTAAGATTGTAATTTGACGGTTTCATTTCGATAGATTACAATCTACCGAATAATAATACGTTAAATTGTAAGCAGTTCGTTGAGGTTCACAATCTTTCGACAGTTTACAATCTCGCGAGATAGATTACAATCTAACGGTGTTTACAATTTTACGGTGACACATATACGACGATTATTTTGTGTGTGGAAAATTGTAAGATATGAATATATAAGTAGAATAGTAAGGTAAGAAACTTAGGCTGTTTCCAAGAAGGTTTTTACTTTTTTTGCGGCATTTCACTTTAACCGATAACTTTTAGTGATGTCTAAGAAAATTCTATTTGTTATTAGCAAATATTAATTTACATTTATTTGTACCTATAGTTAATTGGTGTTTCTACCCCAAAGTTCTTAAGCTACAACCACGATTATCACATCACTTATTAATTCATATTGGATTTTTACAAATAACAACTTCTTTATTCGTAAGACTTAAGTTTAATATGCGCGCATAAGGGATAGGGACCTGCGCATGGACAAATTACGTAACCAGTTTCGGTCACATGTCCATTCTTCTAGGTACAAATTGAGATCCTAGACAAGTAGGATACTCTGCTAGGACAAGAATGCAACAGGTTACATTACCATAATTAATAAACATAAATATCATTTATTAAAAATTATAACTCTGAAAAACTAAAAGCAGTGTGTAGCTGAAGTTTGGAAGGCTTTTCGTATCATGCTCTTTTCGATTTCCGGCGAGTAAATGCTTCGGGTTGGTACAGATCAGAAATCCTAGATAATAACGGAAATTAGTCCGCTCGCGAATGCTAAAAATGATTAAATTCATCTAATGACATAAATTTATATAACGCTGAAAAATTTCAAACGTATGGTTCACATCGATTTTTGTGTAAATACATAACAATTGCATCTTTAACTTGCCATGTAATCCACAACATAAATATAGAAATTTAAGAGGCTTTACTGCTACGTAACTGATGCTAATGCGATTACAACATTAGAAAAGTTATATCATCACTAGTTGGACAGGTCGGACTTAGATCGCTGCTTATATGCGCGCATGAAATGATTATTTTCTACCTCGATTTACCTTAATACTTGCGCATTCTTCCCAAAATAATGTAAGCGAGCATTTCACCGTGCCTAGCTGATAGTGGAAAAACTTGTTCTTACTGTATAATTCATTATTTTTATATAAAGATTGCAGGGGCAACATTTAGTAATAAAAATAATTTAGTGATTTAAAACAGTGACGGAGACTTTATTGCCTCTACGCCTTTATTTGAGAACTGGCTACTGTAAAGTAAATTTAAAATTATTTTTGTTTTGATTGTTAACGCAATTGAAATGTATTCTTTTATAAACTCTCCGCGAGCGAGATTCTAAGAGTATGATTCTTGGCGAGTGTAATTGAGTACAATCCTATGCCGTGAAAGGTAGCTTAGAAAATCTTTTACCTTTTCTCGGGGCGTAAGTGGGAAGCCTGTTCTAGGAAAACCTCTTCTAAGCTGATTTATAGACGACGTAATGTATTCTCTTTATTTAAGTCTTAGAGAGTAAAATTTATTTAAAATAGTGTTTCCGTTTTTCATTGAAATAACTTTGTACTACTAGATACAGTTATTTTTACTACAGTTAATCGTTAATTACAATTATTTGTTAATTGTCAGATTATTAGTTGTGTATTTCGCTTAGGACTCGATAATGGAAGACAAAAGGACAAATGTAAAAGTATTTATTATATTTTAATAGCCTACGCTCTTTTTTAGCGAACAGGTTAACTTTTATGACGGAATAGTTACTTATATGTATGGGTTTTTAGCTCTCTTTAAGAGTTCTGAAGGCGCTAAGCCAACACTGCTCTAATTATTATGATTATTCATAATAATATTATCCATAATCCGATACGCCCTTATTTTTAATAACGCCAATCTATAAACCGGTGCGAATGTTTCAAGTTAAATTTTAAATCGATAAAGTTAATAGTATACGCAGTTTGTTTAGTCAAACCTTTGTCCTTTGTGGTGAATTGCAGTTGCGAGCCGCAGTTAATTAATTTGTTACTGGCAGCCACGAACTTGTTTCTCTTTTTCCTTTAAACGTTCGTGTCACCTACATTCACTGAGTAAATTGCTAGTCGTTTGAAGTTTTATTTTGCTTTTGACTGGCCAGTTTTTCCGATCTGTTTTAAACGCATGCGTTAAAAATGGACAGATTTTTGATAAAACAATTTTTTGCTGCCCTGTAATGGAAACCACAAATAAGAAATTTTCAAACTTTCACAATTTTTTTGCGGTTAGAATTTTTTTTAAGTTATACTTCTTTAGGCGCGTTATGAAAAATTTATGAGTGTGAAATTTTACGATGCGCGCGCACCGTGACACAAAATTAACAGAATGAAGTTGCCCACGGAAGATTCTACGGCATTGGACATAATTTAAAAACAACATTCGAATAATAATATAATTTATGTTACACTTAATGTAAGAGAATAATAATAAATATTTATTTATTTAATTTTTCAAATGTAAACTGAACTTTATTGACTATAATGACTCCTTTTCCAGTCTTTGATTATTTAATTAAAATTAATTCTTTGCATGCAATCAAAAACTATTTCTAATAATGCCAAAGAAGTATAACTTCTTACGCGCGTACATAAGTACACGCACCCTTTTTTTTAAATAAAGAGTTATGAATTATGTTGCAGTACAATGCTAGTTAGATGGGTGTCATGTCTTCTATATACGGGATTCTCTTATAAAAATACATGATCTGGCTGTTTTCATACATAATGGTCAAACTCGGAAAGTCCTTTAAAATCTCCCCTATAATGATTAATGATCACCTTATTTTATAGAAGTCAACGTGTTACAGTTTTCATTTAGGTTTAATAAAAGAACATTTATTTGCATTTTCATGGATACCTTTGGTTAAAATTTTATAAAACGTACATTTCCCTGCAAATACTGCACATTTCAGCGGAAACGATAAAAGGTGTCGCACGATTCTTGAAAGCATCTAGCGTCAGATTGTGATAACGTTAAATTGTATTATTGTTGAAATTTATTGACGCGACGACAACCTGTTACAGAAATATAATATTTCAACAATTTTCACTGCGAAGGAATGAAAGAAAGTTGGAAGAGTTCGATTTTTGAATTTCGAAATCTAACTATTTATTTTATTGTTGGTCACACTGTTCATACTTAAGAATAACAGGTTTTTGGACAATATGTCCATGTATAAATGTTAACAAAGCACTGGTAAAGAGACGAAAGGCAGGAGGCTCACCTGGTGGTTTGTAATACCGGCGCTACTCACACTATCAGGCAAGAAGAAACCAAAGTAGAATTGGTTCAGAAATACTTCAATGGGCAGCTGGTACTACATAGCGATGGTGCGCGGCAACTGCCTTAAAAAACGCTCAGTTGTGGAACGACGGATTTCGAGGTGATACGGGTGGAATTTCGTATAAACGTCCGATGATGAAACATTTGCGTGCGGACAGAGTGCAATTAGACTTTGATATTGTAAAGGTATTTAGCTATATTCCTCTTTAGCTGTTTTATACAATATAATACCTTTGAACATGTCTTAGTTCATTCCTTAACATGTGTTTACCAAAGGAATACTCAGAACAGGTATCACAGTCACATTCACCTGAATTCCAGTCTAGTTATTCCATTTCCATTGAAACTGCGTTCACATCCTTAATCTTTTCCCTTTCAAAGTTGCAAGTAGTACATACAAACATAGTAAGCGTTTAAATTGAAAATGAACGGTATTTGAATAGTTGAAAGCAACATGTGGAACCTCCATTAAATCATTAGAAGAGATTAAAATGAACTATTCAAAGAGAATTAATTAGGTTACTTAGCTATATAACATTTGATTACAAGACAAACCTTGTCGACATATATATTTTTTTTCATTTGACTTGAAATTAAATTCAATGTTTATTTTAGTTAGTAATCTTAAAATACCTATATGCACTTATGTAATAAATATTGTACATATTCTTATTTTTGTTTCTTTACTATTGCAAATGAATTTTACACGAAGCTACTTAGTTTATATTTAGCAGAGCAACTAATATTTTTATATTATAAAGCTTATCTAATATATAAAATTCTCGTGTCGCGGTGTTTGTAGTTAAACTCCTCCGAAACGGCTTGACCGATTCTCATGAAATTTTGTGTGCATATTGGGTATGTTTGAGAATCGGACAACATCTATTTTTCATCCCCCTAAATGTTAAGGGTAATCCACCCATAAATTTTTACATACAACCCCTAATTTTCGCCCCTCTACGATCAACCCCTATTTTTTATTATAAATGATATACATGGCAAAACGACGTTTGCCGGATCAGCCAGTTTTCTTATAAAAAAGAACCACTCTGATATTTTCGATGCAGTTATATGATGCTCGGGTGCAGCAAATGAAAATCAAAAGAGCAGCAAATAAAATAACAGTATAAGAAAGTAGTTAAAATTAATAACAGCTGTAATCTATAAGTGTGTGTACAATAAAGTATATAAGTAACACGTGCTTATATTAAATATAGCACAATTTAAAATACAATTTATTTCATCGTTTCAAACACTAAAACCTTTTCATGCGTGGACAATGGAGATTTTTGCAATATAACATACCTTCAATGGGTGTAGTTTGTTGACCAGAGTTGATCCTTGGTCTTTCTTCGCCGGCAGCTATGTGCTTGCCCGTGCGTCGGGCTATTGGCCTTAATTCTCGGTCTACATCGCTACCCTCTTCCTCTTCGTAGTTATGTTCCAGCCCTAAAGAAATATAATTCGTATTAAATATTTAAACATCATCCATACATTTTGAAATGTTTGTACGAATTTATGTTATATTTAGTGATACAAAATTATTAAAATAATCACGTTCACAGAGTCATCCATTGAATTAACTATAATAATTAAATTTTTAAATAACACAGCAGCTCAGTCAAAATGTAATCAACGATTTTAAGAAACATTTGGAAAACAACTTTCTGCTAAATGACTTAGGTAACCGCCATCGCTTAATGTCAGCTTAAGATTCAAGATTCAGAGTCGAGACTTAGCCCGAACTATGTATCGTGTATGTCAAAATCCAATCCGTTTGTGACATTCGTGAGTCATACTTAAATCTAAGACTTGCTTAATAAACAGAGGTAAAAAGTAACAGTCGCAAACGCTGTCTATTTAAAAAAAGTGCGTGCGTACACATGTCAGAAGTGAAAGTTCTTTGTAAATTAATAATTACTAAGGTAAAAGCCCCAATAGATGGTCATGTACCAGTATATGATCACTCCATGTATTTGTATATCTATATTCACACTGTTTACACACTGAATACGTGCTAATGATAATATAATTAAATAAAAAAAACTGGGCTTACTAAACAAGACAAGAATTGCCATCTAATATGTAACTAATAAACGAATACATCAATCAATAGCGTGTATTTTTTCTCAATCTCCCTTACACTCTCTCTCTCTCTCTTAATCTTTCTCACTATAGCTCTCTCCCACCTCTCGCTCCATGGTACTGTGCGCTATGCGACGTTCACTCTATCTCACACTCTCTCTCGATCTTTCTCACTTGCTTGCTCCCTACTCTCGCTCCATGGCTATTTGCTTCATGCTACGTTCGCCCTTTCTCACTCAATCGCTCTCTCCCTTTTCATCCACAAAAACGCTGCACATCTACGTGACTCTATTATTATTATTATTGCGTTTCATCCGTAAAAAAATTACCCTCATGCGTCAAGCCTCACTTCAAAAATGGCCTCAATTAAAGATTATAAAAATCCGTCTTTACCTACATACTTAACGAAGTAAAATTACTCCGACTAATCCTTCCTCGTTGTAATTAATACGAACTTGTCTTAACTGCAAGTCAATTATGATATTCAATATAGGTTCAATACGCCTGTTATTGATAGGAGGAAAGGACAAGGAGCGGAGTTAATTTAATGTTTTATGAGAATCTATTCAATGATTCGAGTAATTATATTATATTCGTATACTAAGCGCGAAATAATAACGTAAAAGAGAAATATGAGGCGATCTTTCATACAACATTTTTACCCTAAAAGGTACAATACACGTAACATTATTCAGTAGTGAATGCATTTTAATTGTACACTAATTATAACTCTTGAAAAATGATTTAATATAAATATATGTATTATACAATTATTTTATCGATTGATCGTGGTTGGAATATTATGAAAAAAGGTTTTATTGAGTTAATCCGTTATAGCAAACTATCTGTTAATCGCACAAGTTGTATCTCACACTGGCGGCTAATTGTAAAAACACCGATATTTCAATTTAAATTTAAAATTGTATTGGCATCATATTACTGTGTCTACTAGCATCATTTTTCTTTAAAATAATTTTAAATAACCACGGTTCGTCTTTTACAGTTACTAGTCAATTGATATAGGCAAAATACCTGTAAATTCTATCTTATTAGCGCGTTTCTCAGTAGTCTAGATCTCAAAGGCAACTCTCTGAGAACTACCCTTTGTAACTTAAAAAATAACCAGTCAGCCATTATAGTTCACATATTAATTGTAATGTCGCACTAACAAAGGAGCTATTGAATTCATAGCAATATTTTTTGTGTAAACATACCGAAATATTACATTCTGCTGTTTCAAATTGTTGAAACGTGATTCAAAATGAATTGTATTTTATTACTTTTTAACGAAGTACTTTCAAAAACATTGTTGGGCGTGAGGCAGCAATTAAAACAAAATGTCTGCCGCCAACGTATTATCAGCAAATTATTAATTTACTGTGCTCATCAATGCGTTGCGCTCTCAAATTGCGAATAAACCAATAATATTAATATGTTGTATTCAATATATGTTCGTGCCATTAATACATGTAATACTTAGTACAACCAGTAATAATCGCTAACGTAATATGTTTGCAACATATATTTCTTACCAAAATATGCAGCAGTACCTTTTTTTTTTTTACTTGGCGAAATGCATTGCGCATACCCTACCGCGGTGCGACTGCTAGTGCGGGAGGGTTATGTGGGACTCGCGAATGTGCATACCCACTAAAACCCCAAGGCGCCACCAACAATCGCCTTAGGGGGGATGCGGTAACAGCAGAGCCTTATCCGCTTATGCAGCAGTACCTGCTGTTTCACATGCCCAAAAGGAATATACTTTACAAAGAGCAGCTGCTATTATACTAAGCTATTTATAGCATTTTTCCTTTGAATAATTGTAATGTAAAGGGAGGGCAAAACTTGCTGAGTTTCTTGCCCGTTCTTCTCAGAACAAGGCCTCCTGGTAGTTTTGCGAACGGATGGCGTAGTCTTGCTCTTTCGTGAATTTTGTAAACGTTGTTGACATTCATAAGCATGCTCTAAGAAGCATCTAAATTGAATAAACGTATTTTGATTTGATTTGATATATTAGTTATTTTATTTATCTATCTTTCAATCCCTGTTAATCTACATCCCTACAGTAATATTTACAATGTTCCTGACCGAAACCTTTGGCGATGCAAACATCGATTTACAATATCCACGTTCCAAATTCAAATGACTTTTAATTCAGTGTGTTTGAAGGAACCTACTACTCGTATATTACTAGTGGCTTCAGTATGCGACTCTCATCCCAGCGGTCGTAGGTTCGAAACTCGGCTGTGGGATTTTTCTCTCTGTGACACTCGCTCGTACGGTAGGAAAGCATCGTGAGTAAACCAACATGGCTTAGACCAAAAAAACAAGTGATCTGAGGCTCAGACCTAAAAGGTGCCTCAGGTTTTGTTAGTTCTATTTAAAACTATACGATTGTTATGTAAGTTAAATTGATTCTGAAATGTCGGAATAAAAAAAGTAGTATTCAAAACATATTTGTATTTTAAAGTGGTTGTTTAGTGTTAACACAATAAAATTTATTCAATAACAGGAGTTAAGTGCGCGTAACAATTTAGCCTTGGAATTATTTAGAACAAGCCACCGCTTAGGGTTGACGTTTACATGTCAAACTTCGGCATTTTGAAATGTAAAATAAGTCTTAAGCTGGGTCCACATTTGTAGCATTTCGGTGTATCGTATCTCCGTTGCGTGGCTTCGGCGCGTACCATGATCGTTAGTTTGGACCCAAAATGATACCCGTTAATGATACATGCCGTATCTGATACGGCCCGATCCGCACTAAGCGCGTATCTTTATACACCTCATATCCGATACGCGTATCACGATCGGTGGTATGGACGTATTTTGATACTGTATCGCGATACGATACTTGATACACCGCGAACCATCCTGTGTCGGTTTTTTCGCGATCATCAAAGGGAATACACAACATCAATGGGTGACATGCGAGTGAAATTTTTGTATTTTCCGCTGGTATGCTGAAATTTTAAATCTCGCATCAATGGTAATCCACTTTCTAAACACTTCCAGCGCCGTCTACGTCTGGATTTAACTTTTTAATGATAATATAACAGGCGCTAGTCACCGCCAAACTGTGAGCAATTGCTGACATGGCTAAACCGTTTGGGAACGAAGACATGACTGAACCGTATGAGAAGGGAAAGGTGCACTAAAAGACACGCGCATCAGGATACATCGGAAGAAAAGTGAAGCGTCTATATTTGTAAAGTTAAAGCCGATACACTGACATGATACAGCATTTGATAAGTATGGACGCGTTTTTTACAAGATACGCCTTAAAAATACGACATGGACAAAATGAGCGTCCATATTTATGATACAAATACTTGATACGATACGACTGATCGTGATACGTCAACATGCTACAAATGTGGACCCAGCTTTAGGTGTCTACTACTACATCGTTTCATACTATGAACAATGGACATGTCAGACAATGAAAAAATAGATTTAATTAATAGCGAGTTAAAGCTTTGTGTAACAATTAGGTGAACGTAGAATCTGCATATTGTGTGAAACAAAATATAATTCTTATAAAATAATCTTAAAAACCAAGTCAGTCTCAGGACACTGTTTTGTCCCTTTTTGTTTGTATATTTAATTAGATTAATAGATAAGATTAAGACAGAAAGTAACAGTACTAAAATTAATTAATTGTTATTAAATTTATCATTAATAATGTGTTTTTGCATGTTCTGTGTTCTTTAGTGCAATTTTTTCTGGCTTGTATGAATATTGATAGTGTGTTTTATGAATAAATTAATATTTCAATTGGTGAATAATAGTAGAATGACAACCCTAACATTGTGTCTGATGAACAATAATTGCCGGCTGTCACTTGTATTCTATGAGATAATTGCTTCGTTAACACATAATTTTACATTTTATAAAAAAATGTGCACATTAAAACATATTATAGTACTTATTTATATATAATTGATGATGATACTTATTTATTTAGAACTAAGTATTATTTTTATCCTTAATATATAACTTTATACTTTATATTGGCTTAGTATTTAAGCGTGCGATTTTAGAATGAAATTAAATAAATAAATTATTATCCATTTGTGCGTAACCGGGCTGTGAACGTGTGGTTAGGGGAGAGACACACGCTTAGCCACTAGGAAATGCCTTACCTTCCCGCAACTGCCTTGTAGTGGAATGTAGAACTAGCTTCTGTGCATACCCCACGGCGCTACCAACATTCGCCCGAGGCAAGACTCGGTAATAGACCTTGAAACAGCAAGAACCATACTCTATTCACCCTGGTTTGTAGAGCTGGGGAAGGACAGCATCCCTTCATTTGGATGCATGGACCCCTGTACCCCACTGAAGCGTCGTTGCACGATTACAACGATTGACGCGGTGGAGCGGCGATGCGGATGAGCTATGGGATCGACCTCCCTGGCCCTCTCCGCCTCATGTTTTTGGCGCATGACGGCCTTGCAAAATCTCTTAAGATTTCTCACTGTCTGCGCTTGTAACCTCTACTATGATATACTGCTATAACATACCTATATCATCGATGCGAAATGTCAAGAAAACAAAATCATATCAGTCTCCAACAGTGCATAATGTAACTTTACGATATTCAATGATAACTTAACACGGTCATTACTAGATGTTAGCTTTGTAAAAAGCAATGATTAAATGTTGGTCTCTTTTTCTTTTAATATTTAACAGTCCCTCTCCCTCGCTCAGGAATTTCTATGCCATTCACGGCTATTCATGCTCTAGATATTAATAATCTATAGTAATAGTGAAGTCCTTTAAGACCTGAAGGGACAAATATAAGGCGAATGGACACAATACAGTATTGTTATAGTTACCCGAATATCTAAATTTAAAAAAAACATCTCGTCGTAGGTCTGTCTAGATTAGAGTCTCGAATATGACAATGAGAAGTTATTTTATTTTATTTAAGGTCTCAAACATTACAAACGAGAATAATCAAACACTTTTGAAGAATATACATGTGAAAATGGCTAGAGAACTTACAAACCAGGTGCGCTAATCGACCAGAGATATCGCGGCACACAAATTATCTTCGACTCTTTGTATCGAAGAATAAATAGGTCTGCCGAGTGTCCGCGAATATATTAAAAACAATATAAATTCAATTAGATAGCAATATAATAAGGGGAAAGAAAAATAATAGTATATAATCAAGAATACAAGGTTGCTAAAACGTCTAGGCGAAAAGTCTCAATAGAGTTGCTGAAAATGTCCACCCAATAATTTTTCATCACAGTTATCCTGCGATCTTAACAACTGTATTTTAATTAATACTATATAATTATCAGTAGGTGATTGCTCGAAATATGCCGAACAAATAAATTGAAAGAAACTTTGAAAGTTATCTTTGACGTTCTTTGGCTATCAAAGCTTTACCGAAGCTGACACAGATAAAAAGAAAGAAATAGTTAATCATGACGAAGATTACAATACTGTCTTTTTTTTATTTTTAGGTTGACGGGTATCTTTATGATTTTTCTATGAATAAACTAAGTTTAGTTCGTATTGCCACACTTGGGATAAAACTAAGCTTACAAGCAAAGAGATCCAAAATTGATGCTTTTTCATGCATCTGTGTCTGGCGTTGCCGAACAAATCAACAAGTCAAAATAGTTATAATTTATCCTAACAATCTTTCGCATCTTATACAATAAATATAATAGGCTACAGTGAATTATTTTTAAATAATTTTTATGATTTAGATTTAACCAGATAAAATTCACGTATTACTATTATAGTTATTGTATACCAAAGACCAAGACCAAAGAAAAGTGAATGTTACTAATAATAAACTATTTTTATCATATACCATACATTTGAAGCCCATATTTTGATTAAGCTGTAGAGTTAGAAAGTTATATGAAATTTCATTCTTTAAAATGTTTATTTCGACTACATAAAAGCCATGAGAGCGAGACAGCGCATGTATTACGCATCTCACTATGCTAATTTGAAAGCAGCGTCGATTTCGTAAAGGGAATCCAATGGGCTTCCATAATGTGCGCGCGCAGCCGTCCCATATACCCGACCTGTCCGATGGTATCGCCAACTTGGCAATTTGGCTGTCTACTTGTCTACAAACTTACTATAGGTCTTTATAATAAAAGTTCATGAACATTATGTCATAATGTTACGAGTATAGCAAAGTGTACGTAATAAGTAGTTTGTAAGTAGTCTTTTTACGTTAACTTGCTACACCCCGTAGGATTATTATAAGCGTACTATAGATGAATCTCCGTGCTGTAAGCGCCGAGATCGCTTTCATAGACATATTGAGACATGAAGCTTAATCTTACATTTGTGTTTAAGTCATTTCGTCTGTTAAACTGTGATTGGTAAGGCGGTATATTTATACATATGTATATATAACACTACTGACATGCTAAGATAATCATGAAATAATTTTTCTTTATTCAAAAATAAAGAAAATCATAGTTATATTTTTTGTACACAGATCTTAAACATTATGAAGAACATCGGTTTTTTTAGTAAAGGGATCAATGAACTACATATGAGATGGCAAAAGTGCATAGAAAACAATGGTTCATACTTTGAATAATTAAATATATTATATTTAAAAATATTCGACTTTTTGTTCCTCCCATACAAAACGCCAATTTCATATGTAAGGACCTAATATTTATTTCGAATTTTCCAATTTATTTTTATTAAGGAAGCGCCTTTCGATGAAGTATAATGTCGGATGCCAGGCTCTTAAGTCAGCGTAATTCATTCAGTTTCATAAAATATTTGAATAAGAAAATTGCAATCCAATAAAAGAAGTCAGGAATTAATAGGAGCTGTCGTTCAAAATCTTTGCAATAAAATAAAAAATAATTGAAAATTTAATTTCCGCACTAATCCGCCGCTCAGCGAGACGGTGTACTTTTAAACACACTCTTAATAGTGATGTACACGTACAGGCCATTTCCATCTCGGATATTAAAACAGCCTATCCTTACACTTCTTAAAATTAATTACGTTTACGTTTGACTTTTATAAATCAATGTTTTTATTTACATACAGACTAAAATATAGGATGTGTTTACTATAAAAAGTGAATTGCCATAATCTCAGAGCAGCAGTTCGGAGCTGACTATTTTATAGATCAAACAATTACTTATTAGCCAGTCGTGATATCACCTTGGCCTGCATCAGCTGCCAAGTGGAATACAATGAAACGCCAGTATGAAAAATAACTGAAACCTAAACCTGGCTTAAGGGCAAGAAGACTAGACATCTTTAGTTATGCTAGTTTTAGTGTGAGTATGAAGAGATTAATAGTAGTAATAAATGAAGCAGTGTCGGCCTAGTGGCTTCAGTGTGCGACTCTCATCCCTGAGGTCATAGGTTCGAGCCCCGGCTGTGCACCAATGGACTTTCTTTCTATATGCGCATTTAACATTAGCTCCGACCGACATGTCTTAGACCCAAAAAGTCGACGGCGTGTGTCAGTCACTGGAGGCTGATAACTTTCTTGCCTATTAGATTTAAAAATGATCTTGAAACAGATTCAGAAATCTGAGGCCTAGACCTAAAGATTTTGTAGCGCCACTGATTTATTTATTGTTTAAAGAGATTAATACTTAAACAGGATTAAAAGTATAAGTTCATTTCCATAATTCTTCAGTCCAGTTTTATTCATATGTATTAAATAAAAATATTTTTCAGACCGATATTCCTTATAACAATTGCTTGTTAAATGAAATACCTGCAATGCAGTGAATCTTTTGAACGCACTGACTGTGCCCCGTGGAGAAAAATTAAGTTTTGCTATTTTAGATTTCGCTTTTGTTTTCGTTTCATTTAATCCAGTGCATTGTGCATGCAATTTTGTGAGATAAATTAGATTTCTATTTACGTATATTACGTTACCAATTACATAATGACTGAAAAAATACCAATTATATATAAGACGAAAAGTAGCGTTGTACCAAACTTTTACTAAAGTTTTGTACTTATTTAAGATTTACAAAAAAAGTTGCGGTTGCATTTACACAAAGACAATAAATATGAAACACTAAAACTAGCATAACTAAAGATGTCTTGACGTGTGGAATTAAAAATGTATTAAGTATGTACAGTATCTATAATGTCCAAATATTAGAAACAAGATGGCCGCCTTTCAACCGTATGCCGTGCCTATGACACGATGTCAAAAAATCAAATCATTTATTTCAATTAGACCACCTAAAATGGCACCTTTGAACGTCAAATAAAATATAAAGAAGATTCTAGTTGTCCCTTCCAAAAGGTAGTTTCGTGTGGAGAAGAATGGGCAAGAAACTCCACACTTACTATTTTAAAATAGGTTTACAATATTTTGTTTACATTAGTTAAATGATTATATGTGAAGACGATGTACTCTTAGAATAAAACTACTATACTAAAAAGTTAGTATACATGTTCCTCACATATTTACAAATATCGAAACCGTAGAATATTATACATTAAAGAGTAATAAAAATAATATAAAAAAACACAATAAAACAGAGTTTGAGATAAAATAAAATGTATTTTCGTACTGCAAAGAGAAGAGACAAACAGGTATCTGAGGCTGAGAATCTACAACTAAAAACGACGATTGGTCAACACGCGTTAGTGAGTCGACAGTTAATTGTCAACAGAACGCACGGCTCGATGTAGTCAACATATTAATCTTATTTGTTTAAGGATTCAACTATGGGACCAAAAATAACGAATTCACATAAGTATAACAGGAAATATTTCAATGGGGAGTGGAACTGCCGCGCCCCGGATGAGAATGGAAAGCTGTCAATCCTGCGCCTGATCTGTCCTGCTCGTGGCAGACAATTACATCCCTTATACACTTCAACATTTTCCGCGAAAATGACTTTAGTCGATCTGTCAATAAAGGTTAGGTGTTGTGTCTGAGTCGCTCTGGGGGGAGAGGTTGTTAAACGAAAAACGCTGTCACATTGGTCAACGGGATATCTAGCCCTAAAACCTAGGTAACACTGGAAATTTTTAGAAAATGAAAAACGGCTTAATGTAGAAAGTAGCCAATACTTTTATTGTTTGTCGAAGTAATCTCCGTTCCTCTCTACACATCGTCGCATTCGATGGAACCACTGAGAAAAGCAGTGGGCCCATTCTTCCTTAGGAGTCTCTTCTATGGCATTTTCGTACGCTTTCACCGTATCTCCAGGGCTCGTAAAGCGAATACCTCGAATTTTATCTTTAGTTTTGGGTTCGTAGCAATATAACCAGCTTTCATCACCTGTGACGATGTCAAATACAGCATTTTAGTCACCGCCACCACCAACAAGAGTTTTAAATTTTCCGCCAATTCACAAAAACAAATGAATGCAATATACTACATTAGGTTACCAAAGAGTTGTAAAATTTAAATTAAAAAAAAATCATAACCAATGATCCTTATTTCATAAAGGATATTAGT